TAGTCGTGAGTCGTGAAATCGCCAAATTTTTAGCCGTGAGTCGTGATGCGTTTGAGACCCTCATATCAGTATAAACGTTTTTTCTGCTGTTTATATATACCCCTGCTGTACTTTTATTGAGAAAACGAGCAGCATACACAACATGTGTCTGCCACTATTCTGCCTAACAATYTATTTGGGTAGTGTAGTCAAAGATACGTTGCAATAAAAGTCGTTTTGCTTCCGGTCTAATTGTGCATAATTTTCTTGGTCTAGACAATACGCAGCTAACAAAAATGATAAGTTCCATCTGCTAATCTGCTAGACTTAGTTTTTAGCTGTATATTACTGATAAAAGAAACCCCCCCCCCCCGGATCCCTTACTCGGTAACGAACAAAGAAAATATCTATATATAACACAAAAGGTTGAATGTCGGATAAAATGGCGAATGTCAATTGTCGAACCCCGATTGCACGTCCGAAAGGAACCATGGGCTTTGCTAATGTATGACAAATAATAACTGATTTATACTGTAAGATAGTCTGCGGTGTACATTGGCTCCATTAGTCTCAATTTCTAGGCAATGCAAGGTTAATCCAATCAGTGGAATTTTGTTTGTCAAAACAGAGTATCTATGGTCCCTTTCAGCCGTGCAATCTCCATTCTACAATCGCCGTTCTCCCCGACGACGTTTTTTTTGAAATTGGTGTAACCGTAAGACCAAAGAAGACTGACGGAGGTCAATCTCACGCGGAAGATCGTTGATTGTGACTATCAAGGCGCGTAGCGTGGACTTTTTGCCTAGTACGCACATGTCAGGGAACACAACACATATTTTGGATCTGGGAGTCTAACGACAGCCAAAGGCGGGAGTATTAGGGGAGTCTGGACCTCTCCCAGAAAATTTTGAAATAATAACTCTTGGAAATGCGATTTCTATAGTTTTTAGAGACATCGAGGGCATATAAAACGAATCAATTTTATATGAATTTTTCAGTAATTTTTGTAAAAATTCCTTGCCATTAKTACGCACGTGCGTATATGCGYAAAGGACGCTACGCGCCTGCTATCTTRGYTACTGGCGRGACACTAAGACGTGCGTTATAAMGTCCTTGTGCAGCGCGTTCAAGTCAACTGCTCAGTGTCTTCAGTTTTAGCACGTCAYCAAATRTAATTTTTGTGGTTCCTACCTTTTTCTGRCGATATGTTATGCTTCTCTCCGCAATATAATCTATATTTTCTTCAATATCTTCATACATTGGAATAAAAAATTTGGTTTTGAGAGGCTCAATTAGCTCAAGAGCAAAGTCTTCAACGGAACGAGACAAATCATCTATTTCTTCGGCATCTGTGCCTTTAGTCTCAGCTAAACATTTCAGCTTGTARCTGACCTATAACCAATTGGAATCCAAAAATAATCAAAGTTGAAGTTAACAAAATGTTTCGTTAGAATCACGCTTCTCCCTTCATKTCATTATTCATTCAGGTATACCTGTATATTTATTTGGAAAATTGCCCTWTTTCAAAGTCGTCAATCGTTTGATTTGATTCACGCCAAATTTACATGCTTTYTTACATATATAATCTGRATGYGATCWTTCYACCCTTCCACTATAGACGGATTATAGTCTTCAGGGAGTTGCCCAAAACTTGTGAATAGAAACCCGCCATCACAGGAATCGTGAAGGGCAACAAAGCATGGTGGGAGTTTTTGTCCTCACCTTTTTKTCATGTCCCCTAAAACAGTCAATATGAGCCGATTTTTAAATTCTCTGAGAAAATAGTAGTGGTTGTACCGTTTCTACAAAGGAAATGTAAAACGGCTTATAGGGAGATTTTTTAAGACTTATGAAATGTTCAAAGACTGCAACTMCCATCATGATGCTAGCTCTRCTTGGACAAAATGGCRTCGCTTCTGCATTWTTAAATTTGAATRCAAARAACATGCGTTCATAAAAACGTCTATAGTTATGTATGATAMATATTTAAATTGGTTWAAGTGACGTCAGRTCAGGCCRTTAGATAMTTTAAGGGGTGTCCAATACCTCTATTTGCCCGACCCTGTACATGAATGATTTTTTACATGTACGCACCTCGAACGATTTTTCTAAAATGTTGGTTTTGCACTTGCTTAGACTAGTTGGAGTGATCAGCTTTTTAATCTTATTGAYATCCCCGCGTTCTACAACCTCATCCAAAGTTTTCTCGAAGTCAACTTCAGCTGAAACGATAAAAATAAGCGAAAAGAACGCATTTGCAATTAAAATATAAATGTACACAGTTGTACAGCCTACAAAACACGATAAARGAACAAACAATATAACATCAGTTGTTCAAAAGCCAAATCAATCGTGTTTAACAAACACAGTCGGTCCAGGAATGTTGCCTTTTTTGGTCCCATGACCTAACTCGCGCGCACACAATGCATGTCATGRCCCCACAAGGGACTAAAGAACAAAAACAATATATATCTCTCGTCATCTCAAAGGTTTTTGCCAATGCACTTGGGCCATAATTCACCTTCTTCAAATGAGTCAACTAACAGTCAAGTCAGTCTACAGTCAACGAACACCTCGATTATAAGGAAAACCTCGATATTACGAACACCTCGATATTACGAACACCTCGATATTACGAACATCTCGATATTACGGACAGTAAGATAGTGAATCAACAGATGAAAAATACCGAAAGAAATGACTTAAGTAATTTCCGTTGTTATTACAGACTCTCGCTACTGCGGTCACTAAATTACGATCCCGACCGTGTCCGTAATAGTGAGAGTTTTTTTACATTTTGGCGCTAGAGTATGGAATGAGCTACCTAAAACTCTTAAGRAGTTACMTAAAAAAGTATTCAAAAAGAAATTTCATGAAATACTTTTAAAACTTCTTCGCAAAGAAGATTCATACCTAAGCATAACCTCCATTTTGGATAAACTCAAATCTATGAATTGGACTATACTGTGTAGCCTTTCTCTTGAACACTTTATATCTTAGAGTTCAATATATTTATCACCCTTTTCTTTTCTTTATTTTGAAATATATATTTTAACTTAACTCTTCTGTTCTGTTATTTCTGTTAAATTTATTTTACCATTTTCATTTTGATTGTATCGCTTGATTGTACGTTATGTTAGACAAATAGTGTTATTGTAAATAGTTGACATATACTTTATTTATTATTTATTTATTAATCTGGCCCGCCCAGACTATCAAAGCTATTTGCGGGCCAAGATTTACTTTTGTAATAATTGTGTTATATTTTTTGTAAATATGAATTGAATTGAATTGAACGTTGACTGTATACCCATTTCCAGACACACTGCATGRTCAAATTGCCTCCAGATTCAGGTTGTGGAAAAAGCCTAAAACAGGGACCGCGGAGCGGGATCTTGTTTGGGGGGGCTAGCGGCGAGGAGGTACTGGGGGGTCGGAAATTTCAGAAATCGTAACTCTCGGAAATGCCATTTCCAGCGTTTTGACGCGTTATCCAAGACATATTTACCGCTGACACGGTCAGCAATATTATCAATAAAATCCCAAAGACTTCATAAGGAGGTTCTTCGCTTCTTTATTTAAGAAAATTCAAAATGTCGGAAATATTATTGGGGGGGCTGTAGCCCCCCAGCCCCCCCTGCTCCGCGGTCCCTGTAAAATTGTGTCTCTTTCCTAAAAATACACTACCTTGATCTTTGTTTGTCACTTGGTCGTCATCACAATCATCGTTTTCGTCCTATGAATTCGTAAAACAATAAATATACAACACTATAAATCTACGTCACATTTGATACTATAACCACTTACTGAATCTCCAGATTTTTCAGATGCAACAATAAGTTCCTGAAGTCATAAATGAAAAAAAAATCATACAAGACTCGAACTGAGTGTGTAGTTATAGATAACATTTTGAGCACTTTGGTAAATTTAAGGTGTGGGAGTAACCGGCAATATAATTATATGTATTTTGTTTAAGCAATAAACGATAGCTTGAAGCAGTTTTGCAATACTGGCACCMCAATAATAAACTGTAACTAACATGTTAACAAAATAATAGCAGTACACTGTTAATTGCCACTCCTGCACAGTTACACATTAGCTAAAACAGTCTTAGTAACRACACATTCTGTGTACACTTGGGAATCGAAAACAAAGCAAACGATAGCTCAATACAACTGTTCCAGTTGAGTGATACTATAAGTAATTTATAGTCACTAAATAAGAACTATTAGATAGTTAAACTATTTAGATTTTATTTCATGGACACAGTGTAAGCACCTCTATCAGGAGGRGCCGACGGGGTCTGTTCTTCTAAATAACTGTTCTTGTACGAATTTTGTCCTGGGAAATGGATTTTGAGCTACACTTGTTGACAATTTCACAAGCAAATATGGCGCCCTTCCTTCTTAAAAAAAAATTGTTCCTTGCAAACGTTTTTTTAAAAGGTCAAAAGGCTTTTATAATGTTTTTATGGTCAAAACGACCTATATGTTTTTAGTTAGGAAACTTTTACTTTCCTGGAAAAAATTCTTAGMAAGTATTCCTTGCCTGGATAGTTCTGTATTCCAGAATTTCTCGCTGGCAACCAGCTGTGACTTACAGCTGGCTGGGACATAAGAACATAAGAACAGATATATTTCTCCCAGGATCCCGTCGGCTCCTCTTGCTCTATAATAAGTWATACTCACTATAGATTCTGGAATCTTTGCTGTAGCTCCTTCCTATACAGAAGAAGGTGATGGAACAGAAAGTTGTGATGATTGTGTTGACAGTACAATTATTATTATTATTTTTTTTTTTTTGGCTGATAAATTGAAGATCTATTAACAGTCGTGATTATTTAAAAGACAGTTTAATTTCCTGACTTATATCTTTATGGTACAGCAATGAATATAGAATAGATATTATCTATACTAATATTGTTATTCTCTTTCCAAAACAATTTCACTGAAAAAAAAAACATACCTCATCCATTTGTTCAGAAAGATTA